TAGACAATCCAATGTAGACAATCCAATATAGACAATCCAATATAGACAATCCAATATAGACAATCCAATATAGACAATCTAATATAGACAATCCAATATAGACAATCCAATATAGACAATCCAATATAGACAATCCAATATAGACAATCCAATATAGACAATCCAATAGAGACAATCCAATATAGACAATCCAATATAGACAATCCAATATAGACAATCCAATATAGACAATCCAATAGAGACAATCCAATATAGACAATCCAATATAGACAATCCAATACAGACAATCCAATACAGACAATCCAATATAGACAATCCAATATAGACAATCCAATATAGACAATCCAATACAGACAATCCAATATAGACAATCCAATGTAGACAATCCAATATATACAATCCAATATAGACAATCCGTTATAGACAATCCAATGTAGACAATCCAATATAGACAATCCAATATAGACAATCCAATATAGACAATCCAATATAGACAATCCATTATAGACAATCCAATGTAGACAATCCAATATAGACAATCCAATGTAGACAATCCAATATAGACAATCCTATATAGACAATCCAATGTAGACAATCAAATATAGACAATCCAATGTAGACAATCCAATATAGACAATCCAATGTAGACAATCCAATATAGACAATCCTATGTAGACAATCAAATATAGACAATGCAATGTAGACAATCAAATATAGAAAATCCAATATAGACAATCAAAATATAGACAATCCAATGTAGACAATCCAATATAGACAATCCAATATAGACAATCCAATATAGACAATCCAATATAGACAATCCAATAGAGACAATCCAATATAGACAATCCAATATAGACAATCCAATATAGACAATCCATTATAGACAATCCAATGTAGACAATCCAATATAGACAATCCAATGTAGACAATCCAATATAGACAATCCAATATAGACAATCCAATGTAGACAATCAAATATAGACAATCCAATGTAGACAATCCAATATAGACAATCTAATGTAGACAATCCAATGTAGACAATCAAATATAGACAATCCAATATAGACAATCCAATATAGACAATCCAATATAGACAATCCAATAGAGACAATCCAATATAGACAATCCAATATAGACAATCCAATATAGACAATCCATTATAGACAATCCAATGTAGACAATCCAATATAGACAATCCAATGTAGACAATCCAATATAGACAATCCAATATAGACAATCCAATGTAGACAATCCAATATAGACAATCCAATGTAGACAATCCAATATAGACAATCCAATATAGACAATCCAATGTAGACAATCAAATATAGACAATCCAATGTAGACAATCAAATATAGACAATGCAATGTAGACAATCAAATATAGAAAATCCAATATAGACAATCTAAATATAGACAATCCAATGTAGACAATCCAATATAGACAATCCAATATAGACAATCCAATATAGACAATCCAATATAGACAATCCAATAGAGACAATCCAATAGAGACAATCCAATATAGACAATCCAATGTAGACAATCCAATATAGACAATCCAATATAGACAATCCAATATAGACAATCCAATGTAGACAATCCAATATAGACAATCCAATATAGACAATCCAATATAGACAATCCAATATAGACAATCCATTATAGACAATCCAATATAGACAATCCAATATAGACAATCCAATATAGACAATCCAATATAGACAATCCAATATAGACAATCCAATATAGACAGTCCAATATAGACAATCCAATATAGACAATCCAATATAGACAATCCAATGTAGACAATCCAATATAGACAATCCAATGTAGACAATCCAATATAGACAATCCAATGTAGACAATCCAATATAGACAATCCAATATGGACAATCCAATATAGACAATCCAATATAGACAATCCAATGTAGACAATCCAATATAGACAATCCAATATAGACAATCCAATATAGACAATCCAATATAGACAATCCAATATAGACAATCCAATAGAGACAATCCAATATAGACAATCCAATATAGACAATCCAATATAGACAATCCAATAGAGACAATCCAATATAGACAATCCAATATAGACAATCCAATATAGACAATCCAATACAGACAATCCAATATAGACAATCCAATATAGACAATCCAATATAGACAATCCAATAGAGACAATCCAATATAGACAATCCAATGTAGACAATCCAATATATACAATCCAATATAGACAATCCATTATAGACAATCCAATGTAGACAATCCAATATAGACAATCCAATATAGACAATCCAATATAGACAATCCAATATAGACAATCCAATGTAGACAATCCAATGTAGACAATCCAATATAGACAATCCAATATAGACAATCCAATGTAGACAATCCAATATAGACAATCTAATGTAGACAATCCAATATAGACAATCCAATATAGACAATCCAATGTAGACAATCAAATATAGACAATCCAATGTAGACAATCCAATATAGACAATCCAATGTAGACAATCCAATATAGACAATCCAATGTAGACAATCAAATATAGACAATGCAATGTAGACAATCAAATATAGACAATCCAATATAGACAATCAAAATATAGACAATCCAATGTAGACAATCCAATATGGACAATCCAATATAGACAATCCAATATAGACAATCCAATATAGACAATCCAATATAGACAATCCAATAGAGACAATCCAATATAGACAATCCAATGTAGACAATCCAATATAGACAATCCAATATAGACAATCCATTATAGACAATCCAATGTAGACAATCCAATATAGACAATCCAATATAGACAATCCAATATAGACAATCCATTATAGACAATCCAATATAGACAATCCAATATAGACAATCCAATATAGACAATCCAATGTAGACAATCCAATATAGACAATCCAATGTAGACAATCTAATATAGAAAATCCAATATAGACAATCCAATATAGACAATCCAATAGAGACAATCCAATATAGAAAATCCAATATAGACAATCAGAATATAGACAATCCAATGTAGACAATCTAATATAGACAATTCAATGTAGACAATCCAATATATACAATCCAATATAGACATTCCAATATAGACAATCCAATGTAGACAATCCAATATAGACAATCCACACGTAAGCACCACATGACCAGCACCACACGGTCAGCACCACACGGTCAGCACCACATGACCAGCACCACATGACCAGCACCACACGGTCAGCACCACATGACCAGCACCACATGACCAGCACCACATGACCAGCACCACATGGTCAGCACCACTCGACCAGCACCACATGACCAGCACCACATGACCAGCACCACATAACCAGCACCACACGGTCAGCACCACATGACCAGCACCACATGACCAGCACCAAGTGACCAGCACCACATGACCAGCACCACATTACCAGCACCACATGACCAGCACCACATGACCAGCACCACATCACCAGCACCACATGACCAGCACCACATGACCAGCACCACATGACCAGCACCATATGACCAGCACCACATGACCAGCACCACATGACCAGCACCACATGACCAGCACCACATGACCAGCACCACACGGTCAGCACCACATGACCAGCACCAAGTGACCAGCACCACATTACCAGCACCACATGACCAGCACCACACGGTCAGCACCACATGACCAGCACCACACGGTCAGCACCACACGGTCAGCACCACATGACCAGCACCACACGGTCAGCACCACACGGTCAGCACCATATGACCAGCACCACATGACCAGCACCACATAACCAGCACCACATGACCAGCACCACATGACCAGCACCACATGACCAGCACCACATGACCAGCACCACATAACCAGCACCACATGACCATCATCACATGACCAGCACCACACGGTCAGCACCACACGGTCAGCACCACATGACCAGCACCACACGGTCAGCACCACATGACCAGCACCACATGACCAGCACCAAGTGACCAGCACTAAGTCCTTGACCTACACCCAAAGGCCTAGTAACGATCAACACCCAAAGGCCTTGTAATGATCAACACCCAAAGGCCTAGTAATGACCTACACCCAACGACCTAGTAATGACCTACATCCAAATGCCTAGTAATGACCTACATCAAAAGGCCTAGTAATGACCTACACCCAAATGCCTAGTAATGACATACACCCAAAGGCCTAGTAATGACCTACACCCAAATGTCTAGTAATCACGTCTAAAATCACGGCGCCCCACGTTTTTCATCGCTTATAGTAGAGTGATCGCTTGCATTATTGTGATGTATAGCGTTTATTTTCAACTTTTTAGTTCAATCAGAAAACGTGGGTTTTTTTTTTTTTTTTTAATGATAATTTTATTGTATTCAGCTTAAGATCTGTTTGGCCAAACAAGAACATGTGTACATGACGCCTCAAGACCTTCACCTGTATAGGACCACAAGACCTCACAAGACCTTGACCACAAGACCTTGACCACAAGACCTTGACCACAAGACCTTGACCACAAGACCTTGACCACAAGACCTTGACCACAAGACCTTGACCACAAGACCTTGACCACAAGACCTTGACCACAAGACCCTGACCACAAGAACTTGACCACAAGACCTTGACCACAAGACCTTGACCACAAGACCTTGACCACAAGACCTTGACCACAAGACCTTGACCACAAGACCTTGACCACAAGACCTTGACCACAAGACCTTGACCACAAGACCTTGACCACAAGACCTTGACCACAAGACCTTGACCACCAGACCTTGACCACAAGACCTCACAAGACCTTGACCACAAGACCTTGACCACAAGACCTTGACCACAAGACCTTGACCACAAGCCATTGACCACAAGACCTTGACCACAAGACATTGACCACAAGACCTTGACCACAAGACCTTGACCACAAGACCTTGACCACAAGACCTTGACCACAAGACCTTGACCACAAGACATATTTAGATGGAGATTGGGTCTGGCTTTGATCAAGCAGGTTTGATGGGTTAATGTAGGCTATAGGTGTAGGTCATTACTAGGTCTTTGTGTAGGTCATTACTAGGTCTTTGTGTGTAGGTCATTACTAGGTCTTTGTGTGTAGGTCATTACTAGGTCTTTGTGTGTAGGTCATTACTAGGTCTTTGGGTGTAGGTCATACTAGGCCTTTGGGTGTTGGTCATTACTAGGCCTTTGGGTGTATGTCATTACTAGGCATTTGGGTGTAGGTCATTACTAGGCCTTTTGATGTAGGTCATTACTAGGCATTTGGGTGTAGGTCATTACTAGGCATTTGGATGTAGGTCATTACTAGGTCTTTGGGTGTAGGTCATTACTAGGCCTTTGGGTGTTGATCATTACTAGGCGTTTGGGTGTAGGTCATTACTAGGCCTTTGGGTGTAGGTCAAGGACTTGGTGTTGAAAGTTTGACTCACGTGTTGGTGTAGGTCGAGGACTTGGTGTTGAAAGTTTGACTCACGTGTTGGTGTAGGTCAGGCTCAAATGAGGCTAAGGTGAAGATTATCCATCTAAATATTCAGTTCCCTTATGTAACATATCCCAACCCTAACCGTGTCTTAGCCTTACTCATATCTTTAATCCTAATCCTAATAGAAACCATATCCCTATTCCTAACAATATCCCTATCCCTAACCATTATCTTAACACTAATATTAACCTTATTGTATCCTTAAATAAATCCTTAACGCTATACTCATCCCTATCCCTAATCCTTACCATTTGCAAGGTTTGTGTCAGTCGCTCTAAGCTCTCCCGCGCTAATACAGTCAAACATTCAACACACGAGTCAAACATTCAACACACGAGTCAAACATTCAACACACGAGTCAAACATTCAACACACGAGTCAAACATTCAACACACGAGTCAAACATTCAACACACGAGTCAAACATTCAACACACGAGTCAAACATTCAACACACGAGTCAAACATTCAACACACAAGTCAAACATTCAACACACGAGTCAAACATTCAACACACGAGTCAAACATTCAACACACGAGTCAAACATTCAACACACGAGTCAAACATTCAACACACGAATCAACAACACACGAGTCAAACATTCAACACACGAGTCAAACATTCAACACACGAGTCAAACATTCAACACACGAGTCAACAACACACGAGTCAACAACACACGAGTCAACAACACACGAGTCAACAACACACGAGTCAACAACACACGAGTCAACAACACACGAGTCAACAACACACGAGTCAACAACACACGAGTCATCAACACACGAGTCAACAACACACGAGTCAACAACACACGAGTCAACAACACACGAGTCAACAACACACGAGTCAACAACACACGAGTCATCAACACACGAGTCAACAACACACGAGTCATCAACACACGAGTCAACAACACACGAGTCATCAACACACGAGTCAACAACACACGAGTCAACAACACACGAGTCAACAACACACGAGTCAACAGCACACGAGTCAACAACACACGAGTCATCAACACACGAGTCATCAACACACGAGTCAACAACACACGAGTCAACAACACACGAGTCAACAACACACGAGTCATCAACACACGAGTCAACAACACACGAGTCAACAACACACGAGTCATCAACACACGAGTCAACAACACACGAGTCAACAACACACGAGTCAACAACACACGAGTCATCAACACACGAGTCAACAACACACGAGTCAACAACACACGAGTCATCAACACACGAGTCAACAACACACGAGTCAACAACACACGAGTCAACAACACACGAGTCAACAACACACGAGTCAACAACACACGAGTCAACAACACACGAGTCAACAACACACGAGTCAACAACACACGAGTCAACAACACACGAGTCAACAACACACGAGTCATCAACACACGAGTCAACAACACACGAGTCAACAACACACGAGTCAACAACACACGAGTCAACAACACACGAGTCAACAACACACGAGTCATCAACACACGAGTCATCAACACACGAGTCAACAACACACGAGTCAACAACACACGAGTCAACAACACACGAGTCAACAACACACGAGTCAACAACACACGAGTCAACAACACACGAGTCATCAACACACGAGTCATCAACACACGAGTCAACAACACACGAGTCAACAACACACGAGTCAACAACACACGAGTCAACAACACACGAGTCAACAACACACGAGCCCTCTATTGTTTCTGATTTTGTCTTAAAATTTCCCTGTGTTGACTACTTGCACATGTAAATAACAATAGTTGAAATATCTAAAAATAGAATCGTCCGATCACGCACTGGATGAAGTCCTCCGATCAATGGAAGGGAGGGGGGGGGGGGGGAAGGGGAGAGAGGGTTTATGAGGGTGAGGCATGAATTATCTGTTTGATCTAACCCGGGTGTAGCATGCACCATGGCGAAAACTTCAAGGCTTTGGGGGGGGGGGGAGGGCTGGGAGTTCTCCCAATTACACAGCACTATGCGTGGGGCGGGACTCGTGGGGGGAGGGCTGAGGGGTGGGTCGTCACCTCATTATACGGGTGTTCTGTAAATAGTCCGCCCGTTCCAAGAATAGTTGAGGCAGTTTTATTTGGACACAAAGCAATTGTCTGACAATTGTCTGACAATTGTCTGACAATTTAGCCGTCCACCGGTTGTGACATTTAGGGTGGGGGGGGGGGGGGGGGGGTGTCACATGTTGTAATAGGCTAGAGGGTTGTATCAGTCAATCGTTTTTTCACTAGATATTTTTATACAATATATCAGTTGTTATACAATATATCGGATGTTATACAATATATCGGTTAAGGAGAGGCAGGACTAGAAGTCAGCAAATATATAAGAAATATCTTAGTTTGACGTCATTAACTGACCACAGTGTGACTGCGGGAATGACGTCATGATAGTGCGCTCTGACGTCATTAACGTACACTCAGACGTTTGCCAAGTGCAGCTCCCGCCCCACCCTCCACCCCACCCTCCCGCCCCACCCTCCCACCCCACCCTCTAGACAAGGGTCTGAAAACGCTATCAATAATATTGGCTGGCACCAGCTGGGGAATTCACGGCCAACGGGAAAGCCCGCAGCAAGTGGTTTGTGTACACCTCTACAACAACGGATTAACGGAACTTCTCGGCCTAATGGAGCTGTGTGTACAACAGCCGCTCAGCTGTGAGACATGGTGAGGCGGGGGGAGGAAGCGGGGGAGCGGGCGTCTGATGCAAATATTCCTTCGACTGAGTTCAGTTTCTGCCAACTCACAGTCGTCTGCGATCCACGAAAATTTTTTTGTTTAGATGACAACGTGAAGACAAAACTGGCCACATTTTTTTTGTTTACTTACAGCGCATGCAGGCGTCACTGCGCAACCGGAACACGAGCAGTGTGCGCTTGAAGTGATGCGCAGAAAATCTGCTTGATAGCTCTTGGCGGCCAAATAAAAAGATTTCCTGGAAATTTTTGGATTGCTTTTAGAAATCATGAAGTCGGCCGTGAAATCAATATATGACTTGAAGGCTAATTCATCACAAGGGCGCTCGATTGCCAGTCAACAGGGGGGGGGGGGGGGCTCGGGGAGCCAGAAGGGGTGGAGATTTCAACCATAGGGGGTGGAGATTTCAGATATAGGGGGTGGAGATTTCAGCCATAGGTCGAAATATACAATGTATACAAATGTGTTCGTTCCAACTGTTGGTCGGCTTCAAACCTGTAATCAAACGACTCATTAACTTTCTAATTAAACAACCCATTAACTTTCTAATTAAACAACTCATTAACTGTCCAGCTATTATTAACATTTGTTTTCATTTGTCTCAAAGTCACGTGATTAGCTGTAATAAAAAGTTGTGTAAAGCTGAGAGGGGGGATCCTGGGCTCATGGGGTTTCTGGGGTCATTGGGGATCCAGGGGTCATTGGGGATCCTGGGGTCATGGGGATCCTGGGGTCATGGGGATCCTGGGGTCATTGGGGATCCTGGGGGATCCTGGGTTCATGGGGTTTCTGGGGTCATTGGGGATCCTGGGGTCATTGGGGATCCTGGGGTAGTGGGGGATCCTGGGGTCAAGGTCAGTTATTAAATATCATAACATCATGTCTACAATATAATGTCTAACACATCACGTCTACAATATAATGTCTAACACATCACGTCTACAATATAATGTCTAACACATCACGTCTACAATATAATGTCTAACACATCACGTCTACAATATAATGTCTAACACATCACGTCTACAATATAATGTCTAACACATCACGTCTACAATATAATGTCTAACACATCACGTCTACAATATAATGTCTAACACATCACGTCTACAATATAATGTCTAACACATCACGTCTACAATATAATGTCTAACACATCACGTCTACAATATAATGTCTAACACATCATGTCTACAATATAATGTCTAACACATCACGTCTACAATATAATGTCTAACACATCACGTCTACAATATAATGTCTAACACATCACGTCTACAATATAATGTCTAACACATCATGTCTACAATATAATGTCTAACACATCACGTCTACAATATAATGTCTAACACATCACGTCTACAATATAATGTCTAACACATCACGTCTACAATATAATGTCTAACACATCACGTCTACAATATAATGTCTAACACATCACGTCTACAATATAATGTCTAACACATCACGTCTACAATATAATGTCTAACACATCACGTCTACAATATAATGTCTAACACATCATGTCTACAATATAATGTCTAACACATCATGTCTACAATATAATGTCTAACACATCACGTCTACAATATAATGTCTAACACATCACGTCTACAATATAATGTCTAACACATCACGTCTACAATATAATGTCTAACACATCATGTCTACAATATAATGTCTAACACATCACGTCTACAATATAATGTCTAACACATCACGTCTACAATATAATGTCTAACACATCACGTCTACAATATAATGTCTAACACATCACGTCTACAATATAATGTCTAACACATCACGTCTACAATATAATGTCTAACACATCACGTCTACAATATAATGTCTAACACATCACGTCTACAGAATCATGTGTTTAACATCACGTCTACAGAATCATGTCTTTAACATCACGTCTACAGAATCATGTCTTTAACATCACGTCTACAGAATCATGTCTTCAACATCACCTCTAGAGAATCATGTCTATAACATCACGTCACTAAATAAAATCGAATGGATGAATGCCGTCTTGACATCTCATGAGCGATCATGGGCGATAATCCACAAGATAAGTTTTCATCCTTCACGGGCGATAATCCGCGGCTTCCTGGGCCCATGACCGATGTCTGTAATCTATTTTTTCAATTCGGGGGACTTTATCTGCACGACACACTGACATGACAAATTCAAGACACACTTATGTGACACATTCAAGAAACACTGACGTGACACATTCAAGATACACTGATGTGACACATTCAATACATATTCAAGACACACCTACGTGACACATTCAAGACACATTCAAGACACACTGACGTGACACATTCAAGACACACTGACGTGACACATTCGAAACACAAGTTTGCGAATGGCTGCAGACAATCTGCCACTGTAAACACGTGTGTCTGGCGTACCAATCAATCAATGGACCGGTTCCTCTCTCGGTTTTAATTTCAACTTCTGCTAGCATCTGCCGGTTCGTCTAGCATCTGCCGGTTCGTCTAGCATCTGCCGGTTCGTCTAGCATCTGCCGGTTTGTCTAGCATCTGCCGGTTTGTCTAGCATCTGCCGGTTCGTCTAGCATCTGCCGGTTCGTCTAGCATCTGGCGGTTCGTCTAGCATCTGCCGGTTGGTCTAGCATCTGCCGGTTCGTCTAGCATCTGCCGGTTGGTCTAGCATCTGCCGGTTCGTCTAGCATCTGCCGGTTCGTCTAGCATCTGCCGGTTTGTCTAGCATCTGCCGGTTCGTCTAGCATCTGCCGGTTCGTCTAGCATCTGCTCAATAATCTGCTATCGGCAATTTTATTATCTAGCGAAACATTAAGCCACACCCCAGTCTGGCCATGTAGCCACACCTCAGTCTGGCCATGTAGCCACACCTCAGTCTGGCCATGTAGCCACACTCCAGTCAATATATGGCCATGTAGCTACACCTCAGTCTGGCCATGTAGCCACACCTCAGTCAATATATGGCCATGTAGCCACACCTCAGTCTGGCCATGTAGCCACACTCCAGTCAATATATGGCCATGTAGCTACACCTCAGTCTGGCCATGTAGCCACACCTCAGTCAATATATGGCCATGTAGCCACACCTCAGTCTGGCCATGTAGCCACACTCCAGTCAATATATGGCCATGTAGCTACACCTCAGTCTGGCCATGTAGCCACACCTCAGTCAATATATGGCCATGTAGCCACACCTCAGTCTGGCCATGTAGCCACACCTCAGTCTGGCCATGTAGCCACACTCCAGTCATTATATGGCCATGTAGCCACACCTCAGTCTGGCCATGTAGCCACACCTCAGTCTGGCCATGTAGCCACACCTCAGTCTGGCCATGTAGCCACACCTCAGTCAATATATGGCCATGTAGCCACACCTCAGTCTGGCCATGTAGCCACACTCCAGTCAATATATGGCCATGTAGCTACACCTCAGTCTGGCCATGTAGCCACACCTCAATCAATATATGGCCATGTAGCCACACCTCAGTCTGGCCATGTAGCCACACCTCAGTCAATATATGGCCGTGTAGCCACACCCCAGTCAATATATGGCCATGTAGCTACACCTCAGTCTGGCCATGTAGCCACACCTCAGTCAATATATGGCCATGTAGCCACACCTCAGTCTGGCCATGTAGCCACACTCCAGTCAATATATGGCCATGTAGCTACACCTCAGTCTGGCCATGTAGCCACACCTCAGTCAATATATGGCCATGTAGCCACACCTCAGTCTGGCCATGTAGCCACACTCCAGTCAATATATGGCCATGTAGCTACACCTCAGTCTGGCCATGTAGCCACACCTCAGTCAATATATGGCCGTGTAGCCACACCTCAGTCTGGCCATGTAGCCACACCTCAGTCTGGCCATGTAGCCACACTCCAGTCATTATATGGCCATGTAGCCACACCTCAGTCTGGCCATGTAGCCACACCTCAGTCTGGCCATGTAGCCACACCTCAGTCTGGCCATGTA